ATTTGTATTAGACTTTGACGTATAAGCTACTTGCAATTCTATTTCTTATGTAGTTGATTTTATTTTTATATAATAAAGTAGTCTCAAAATAAAGTTCAATCTAATCCTTATACCTAATCCTTCAGTCCCTCATTTATAAATCCAGATTCTTAAAGCCCTGATAGGTGCTCAAAGAGGAAATCAAGTTATCACTTAATCTCAACATTTGCCCTCAATCCCAAATCAATATCTATATACAACTATAATGAAAAATAATAGCAATTGTTTTTACTAGTAGGTAAAAGACAAGAAATGAGAAGATTACCCACCGCCCCCCCCCCCCCCCACCCACCCCCCCCCCCCCTCCACCCCCCCCCCTCCCCCCTCCCCCCCCCCCCCGCCGCCCCCCCCACCCTCCCACCTCCTCCACCCACCTCCCCCCCCCCCCCCCACCCCCCCCCCCCCCCCCTCCCCCCCCCGCCCCCCCCCCCCCCCCCCCCCCCCTAATATACATACTATAATGATAAAATAATAGCAATGTGTTTTAACTATAGTAAAAGACCAATATCTATATACAACTATAATGAAAAATAATAGCAATTGTTTTTACTAGTAGGTAAAAGACAAGAAATGAGAAGATTATCTGAATTAATAATGATAATTATTTTAGCTACAGTGATAGTGTTACTTACACAGTGCATTAGAGAAAAGAATATATGAACATACACACAAACTCTTGAAACATAAAAAATTATCCAAAACAGAAATATATCGCTCTAGTTTTTTTCAATTTCATAAACACTATTTTTAAAGTTGAGTTGTTTAATCATTGTGATAATTTTTCTATGCATCTCATTGAATTAGATTCTAGAAATGACATCTATTAGGTCTCACAAAATGATAAGCGGCCATGGCAATGGTGGGATCGTTTTAACAAATTTGATTCGTTATTATGTTCTTTGATTCAGGTTGATTTCATTGTTGTCAACAGAGATCGTAATCATTTTGCAGAATGGAATGGATGCTGCAGAACATTTTTTAGCATGGTGTTAAAATTTGATTTTATTTATGTAATAGCACAGTCTTTTTTTTTTTTCCTTTTTTTTTTTCCTTTCTTCTTATCTTAAGAAGAGATCTGATGGATGTCCCTTCTGGTTTTGTTCTGCAAAGGAATTTTTACTAGGTTTTTTCACTTAACTTTCCAAGTTAGTTTCGGGTGTATTGGGGAGCCTGTTGGCTTAGATTTGATTACTTGGATAAGTTAAGTTTTTCCTGATATGTTTTATTATAATAAAATACATTAATTTCACTAATAAAAAAACTATTTTCTTTCAAGTTAAACATGTCTAGAATATAAAAGAAAAATATCAAGAAAATTAAAAATGCTTAATCAGGAAGTCATCTATTTATTGCAAGGGATATATAAATCTCTTACTAAATTAAAGTGATAGTGTTTACAAATTAGTTCAACAACGAAAAAGAAAATAAAAAATTACAAATTTTTATTAAGAATAAAACTCTTTTAAGAACTTAACATGTAACAAGAAATAAATTATATTAAAAAAATTATCAATTTGAATTTCAAAAATAACCTAAGAAATGCTATAATTTAATTAAATTTGATTTTGATGAACAAAAAAAAAAAACCAAGTCAATAAATGAAAAACAAAAAAAAAAAAAACCAGTAGTTCAATAAAAATGAAAAATTAAACAAAAGCAACTCATGCTAGGCATCCAATAATTGGTCAATTAATGAAGTTATTCAAGGGTTATTGTTAATTCCTCTATAGTTCTAAGTTGAAAAATTTAAAAATAAATAAGTTAATTAAGTAAAAAAAAAAAGATTATATAAAAGAAAACATTAATACCTCCAAATAAACCTACAAGTTTTCCTAATCAACCCATGACAAAAAAAAGAAGTAGTATAACCATCAAAAAAAAAGAAAGTATACTTTATAAATATATATTATAATAATATTTTATTAAAAAAAAATTTTTAGAAAGGAGATGCAGCCCAAATAATATATATATTTATTAAAAAAAATTTTTAGAAATTATATCTATTCAAATAATGAAATATAATTTTTTTTCTGTCTTAACTACAAGTATTGCATCAAGTCGACCAAGTAGGTATAAAGTACTCATAGCGAGTATTTGCTCCATTTATGAGGATCAAATCCTCGACTTTACTTAAAAGAGTACTCATAGTGAGTATTTGCTTCATTCATGAAGATCGAACCCTCGACTTCATCTAAAAGAAAAGTGTCAAACCACTCATCCAAACACTCATTGGTATAAAATATGATTTTTAAATTGGCTATTACTAAAGATATTTTAGAATATTCTAAATTTCATTGAGGGCGATATCAAAAATCCAATTATTTTTTTCGTATTCCTACATTTATATATAATATAGATTATAGATAGATAAATAAATGATAGATTTAATAAGTGTTTAATTGGTCTAATTTTGCAAGTTGAAGTGCTCAATAAAATAATTCTACAAGTTAAAATGTTCAATAGGTAAATTTTACAAGTTGACATATTTAATAGATCAAAGTAAAAGTTGATGGTGCATGAAGTTAAACAAAATTCAGAGGTAAATTAGGACCCTTCTTTTTTACTAATAAACTTTTGACTATGGTTAGAATTGAACGATTCTATAATTTTTCAAATTGTCACAGTTTTGCAGAAAGTTTTAATTTCATCCAATCAGAAAAACTTTTCTTAATTTTTTATTTAAAGAAAATTATATTGGTAGAATTTAATTGCTACAATTCATATGATTATCAATCGGATAAAAAGTTATTTTATGTTTGAATTCTTACATCTCCAAGGATTGATGGGACGATGGCTTAGTTTGATAGAGTTTCTTCATCTAAACATAAATTTCTTAAGTATTTACCATCTAAGTAATAAGGATTTATTTAGTTTGAGAGGATTAATTTCTTAAGGATATGTTGAATTTGATTCCAAACGTGCAATTTGTTGCGTTTCCAAAAAATGGAGAGGCCTCTGAAAGAGCTGGGAACTTTTTAACATGTTGGAAACGCTGCTTCAGACTCTTCCAAGAGTTAGCTTTTATCATGTGGTTAGGGATCAAAACCATTTTGCTAATGGGTTAGGAAAGAAAGGAGTGGATAATCTTGAACATTTTGTTGCATGCATTCGATGACTGTTCACGATGATATTTTATGGTTTTTTTTTTTTTTTTTTTTTTTTTTTTTTTTTTTTTTTTTTTTTTCTGGACTTTCTTAACTCAAAAAGGGTTTTTGAGAAACCTGATGACTTGGATGTAGTTTTTCATATTAATTCTCAGCTTAGTTTGTATTATATAATCTCTTTAATAAAATTGAATTATTTTGTCGGCAAAAAAAAAATGTTCTTAAAGATAGGAGAGAATTCCATAGTTTTATAATTTGAGAATGATAAAAAGAGGGAGAGATGAAAAATGAAAAAAGAGAATAAGAAATGTGAGATAAGTTTGGATTGAACGAAGAGACTATGCCAAGATGATAGAGAATGCAACATCAACGGAATACCATAAACCACTTGCTTTTTATCACAGAAAGACTGAATAATTCTTCTTCATAAAATGTTTAAGAGAAATGTATGAATAATCACACATGAGATAATTAAAGCAACATGAGAACTGGGAAGCCTCAATTTAACACAGTTGATTTTTTTTTTTTTTTTTTTTTTTTTTTTTTTTTGTTTTTTTTTTTTTTTTTTTTTTTTTTTTTTTTTTAGGAAAAGAAAAGGTAGGAATAGAACAAATATATAATTTTTTTTTTTCTTTTGAAATTTTCACGGGTATCCTTTCATATTTAGGTACGAGATTTACAATTCATGTTTGGTCCCTCTCCATGAGTGATTACATAATATTGACAGAGAAATGATAGGTTTCTACACAAGCTCGGTAGTAGATCTACCACTACAAAAAAAAGTGAGAAAACCGTTATATTTTAATTTAATTACTTGATTTACTTTATCGGTTACAGTTGAAAATATTTTTAATATTCGTTCTATTTCTCATTTTCTTGTTTTTAAAGAATTGAATGATTTTATTTATTCCAATCTTCACCACTGTTAATTAGAAATAAAACAAGGAGTTTATTTTATATGATAAGTAAAATAATTGTATATAATCAATGAATAAATCGATAAAAAAACAGTTAGTTTTCATCCATTCATGGAATAATATTATGTCTTGCTTTCAGTATTGTAGGTGTTTTAGTTCAATGATCTAGTGCGTGCCTTTCTATATATATAGTAGGATTTATAAACTTTGTTTAACTTATTTAGTTACTGTAATAAGAGAATTCGATTAAACCATTTAAATAGAAGCACTTCTTATACAACCATAGAAATTTAAGAAATAAACTAGAGATACCGTCAACCTGTCACAATCAAGTGAATCAAGTAAATATTTCTAATTTGAGAAATATTTCTAATTTGAGTTATTTCTCGATGTTAGATGAGATAAAAAGTTTCACCGTGAATGAATTGAAGAAAAATGAATGAGCAACAAGGGAAAATGGCACTTTTATCTATATCATAAATTTAGTCTAGTATTAACAATTGTTGCTCTAGAAATAACACCACCCGGTTTATATTACTTTTCATTATATAATAAAATATTTATTTTTTGTTAATTGATTTTTCATTTTTTATTAAATACATCTAAAACTATTTATATACAAATAATTCAACAACATAATAATAAAATAAGAAAAAAATCTATTCAATCATCTTTATTATTGATTTCAATGTAAAATTGCAATATATTTTTTTTAAAATTAGCAATATCACTTATCCATAATAATTATTCGGACGATACCAATCCCTCGCGAGTGAGCAGGGCGCAGGATTTCGACTAGTATATCATATAACCACCACTCACAAAGAATCCAACCAAAGCCAACATATTCATAGGAATAACACAAAAAAAAAAAAAAAAAAAAAAAAAAAAAAACAAAAAAAAAAAAAAAAAAAAAAAAGAAATCGAGAAAAAAAAAAAAAAAAAAAAAAAAAAAAGTTCCATCCATTAATCTCAAATGTCAATCCTAACATCTATCAGAAAGATAAAGGGACTACACAAATTTTCAAAATCCATCAACTCAATTTTCCTACACATTAACAAAATATACTCTAAATCACATACAACAAGATCAAGAGAATAACAACAGAAATGACTTAAGCTTTCTTTGGAGATTTTGTTGCCTTAGATGGAGATTTAGGTTCCTTATCTTTAGTAGCCTTCTCTGACTTTTTGGGCAAAAGAACAGGATTAATATTGGGAAGAACACCTCCATGAGCAATGGTCACTCCTGCAAGCAACTTTCCAAGCTCTTCATCATTTCTAACTGCAAGCAATACATGCCTTGGTATTATCCTGTTCTTCTTGTTATCTCTAGCTGCATTACCAGCCAATTCCAATACCTACAAGGCCAAAACAGAAAGGATTAGGGCTTAATTTAAGTAGTTAGGAAATGCAGAAATGTAGGATCAGATTAAGCTAAATCCAAATCTAATTGCAAGGATGTTAAAATTAATTTGCTAAATTTTGGATAACTTAGCTTTTTCCATCATTTTCTTACCAACCAAACAGACATTTTGAACCAAAATTAGCATCCCTAAATTTAACATAGTAAACGTATCTTTAGTGAAATCCACTACCACTACAGATCAGAAAAACCAAAATTATAAAAGATTGAGAGAGAAAAAGCTTACTTCAGCAGCTAGGTACTCGAGAACAGCAGCCATGTAAACTGGAGCTCCGGATCCAACCCGCTGCGCATACCTTCCCTTCTTCAAGTACCGCCCTATTCTCCCAACAGGAAACTGAAGACCGGCTTTGACTGACCTAGAAGTAGGCTTCTTCTTCGGACCTCCGCCTTTCCTCCCACCAGCTCCCTTTTTTACTTTTGCTCCGGAATCCATCTCCGCCGAAAGTCCGACCCGTTTATTGTCTAGTTCTTTTCTTTTTTTTTTTTTTTTTTTTTACAGCCCGGTGTCTGGATGTGAGCGTGTTAGAAGTAGGAGGGTGGGAGTAGGAAGACCGTCGGATTGGAGCTTTACTGACGGTTATGGATGGTTTAGGGAGCAATCCGCGTGGTTTGAAATGGACCAATAGGAAGCCAAATGTTTTTTATAATCTTCTTTTGGAAAACTTTTTCCGCTATTTGTAAAGTGTTTTCGTCTTCCGCTGGATTTTCAAAAGGCCTTGGCTTGGTTAGTTTTAGTCATTTTTTTTTTTTGGGTGAAATTATTAAATCTATTTCATTTATATTTTTTTTCTCCATATATTTATATTTAAATTTATTTCTATCACTATTTACCACAGGGGTGGGCACGGTTCCGAAACCAACTGTTTCGGTTCCAAAAAAATTGAAACCGAAACCGAACCGAAAATTTTCAGTTCCGGTTTCGGTTTGAAACCTAACAGTTCCGGTTCCAGTTTCGGTTTTGGTACGGTTTCAATACCGACGGTTCTGATCGGTTTTCCGACTGATTTTTCGGTAAATCGCATAATTTTAAATTTTAAATTTTGAAGACCGGTTTTCAAAATTTAATAAATTTGTGAAAGTTATTTCTAAAAAAAATTTGAACTTATTATTTTTTTTTTTAAAAAAAATTAAGTTGCCTACGTATCCCCTTGAAACTAGCCGTTTATGGTTATTGGGAGGGGTAATTAAGAGATTTCACAACAAAATTAAAAAAAAAAATGACAGTTTCTAACTGCTAACCGACGGTTCTAACCGGCCAGAGAACCGGCGGTTCCATCCGATTCTGACCGGTTTATGAAACCGCCGGTTTACAGTTCCAACAAAACTGGAACCGGAACCGAACCAAAAATCTCCAATTTCGGCTCCAGTTCCCACCGGTTCCGGTTCCCGGAACCGTAATATGGCACCCCTAATTTACCATATATGTGAGTTTTGATAGATACTGCAACTAAATCAATATGTAAACATAAAAATAAAAATAAAATTAAACATATAATTCCCTAAATTTTCAATTTCAAAATTTTGGATTTAAATTAGATCAAAATAAAATAAATTTCTATATTATAATATTACGTTGGTATTTTAAAATCATTGTTGTTATTTTTGCATTGTTTTTATTTTAATTATATTAAATAACAAAATAATTGAATAATCAATCTTAAATTATCGCAGAAATATTTTGATAAAACACATATTCAAACCCTAAACTAATCAAGTTTTGTATATTGAGCCCCTGAATTTTTATTTCTCGACGTTGAGATCGAGTCTTCTTCAATTGGGAGATTAGAAATATTGATAAGGGAATTACCAGATTTTTTTTTTTTTTTTGACTTTCAGAAGGAAGAATTTGACATTATTCTCTTTTTTGTTTTGGTTTTTGTCAAACCATTTCTTTCTAAAATAGATCTCAATGGCAAAACATTTCCCACCATTAAATTGCCTTCTTTCCAATAGTATACAATCCTTCAGCAGCAACGAAGAGCTCCTCTTGGTGCTTGCAGCGAAATGGGTGGCGAAAAGTGAGGCTAGCCAGTGGCGTGTCGTGACCAAGATCGTGAATAATTCAATAATGACTCTCTTTAGATAACCATTTTGCTCTCTGAAATTGATAGAACGAAATCGAGCAGAGCCTTTATGATGGTGGGTGTGGGACTTGAAGACGGAGCCCGCTCCCTTATGCATCTCGGCCTTTAGAGTTTGCAAGCGATACGGCATTAGAGAAATTGGGTTTTTTGGTTGTAGAAATTTTTATATCGAGGGTTTTTGGAGGAACAGAGTTAAGAAAAGAAATGTATTTGTATGTTAAAAGAAAGAGAAGGAGATTGTTAGAAAGCATTAAATGGAGATCGTAGTGATGATTTCCCAGTTTCCATGTCACCAATGGCTTACCTGGCAAATATTCTAACTCCTTCTTGCAAAGTAGACTACCACGTAATAAAATTTATGCCCCCACATATGTAGAATTTTTTTTCTGATTTACCACGACATCCAGAGATATTAAATTATAAAAATCTTAGAAATTAAAAAATTGAATCGTTGTCATTTTCTGTTGAGACATCAAAATAAGAAAAAGAGTGAAAATTCAGATATTAAAAATATAATTATACCTATTGATAATTATCTACAGAACTGTTTGCGAGTAAAATTTGCAGCTAAATATTAATTAATTTTGTTATAGTGATTGGTAATTAGGGATGTTTGAAATGGCTTCAAGGTTAGAACTTCTAGTTGTCTTCTAATTCCTTTCCTTCCAGTTTATTTTCTACGTTAGATTGCTTTAGAAACAGAGGAAGAAACTAAACAGATTAAACCCAAATTGATTGGATCCCATTCCATTTGATTTTATATACTATCAATTAATTCATATTATTGAACCTAGTGTTTACCCTTCTTAAAGTGTACTTTTTACCTAAATGGCCACTAATTTTTTTTACTAGTTTGCGAATCTTTTTTTTTTCAATAAAGTCATATTATTTTATTTTACTAATCATTTTGATATCAGAAAAATTTAACATATCAAAGATATTATATCCGGACCGATGCATCCCCTAAATACACCCAACTTAAACCTTGGTATGTTAAATAAAAAATTAAAAAATTAAAAAATTAACCATAACAAAATATATTGAGTAATTTTATTATTACAAGTAATATATAATTTTTTCAACTAGTTCCTTCTTCTTCGATGCCCTCCAGCTTCAACAATCTTCACCAAAACAACAGGTTTTCTTATTCTAAACAACATAAGATATCCCACTGCTATACCAAACACTGTCCCACAAGCATAAATGACAACAGATTCCCATCCAAATCCAACTTTATTTTCATCAGATTTTGATGGAGTCATGTCTTGTTGCCTTTCACCAAAATTTACAATCCTTCTGCAGTGGAAATCCACACTATCTTGTGTTTCCTTCAGACGAGCTATTATCAAATGAATTGAACTGCTTGCCTTCGGGTATGGGTCCTTCAAGTTTATTAAATGAAACATTAAATACTTGAAGGAATATCAAATGTACTAATTCAGTTGGAATCCTTCCAGTAAAATAATTTGAAGAGAGGTCTAACGATTCCAAATTGGTCAAATTCCCGATAGACTGTTCAATCTCATCTGTCAGACGATTATGAGATCTAGAAATTGAGTTGCTTGAGTGATTTAAGCTTGCCAATCGAATTTGGAATTTTCCCTGTGAAATTATTGCTTTACAAGTCAATGTTCGTTATCCCACATCGGAAAAATGTGAGAAGAGAAACCAAAATATAATGGTTCAAATCCAACCCATTAGTATGAGGCCTTTTGAGAGGTGCCCAAAAACAAATCCGTGAGTGCTTGGTCCCAAGCGGACAATATCATACTAATTCGGGATTGGATGGTTCGCGCGGTCCCATCAAAAACAAATTTGCAGGTAGAGGCCTACTAAACATGTTATTGGAGAGATCAAGAAACCGTAGCTTGGGGAATGAATTGTTGGCATAGAAGTAGGTTTTCACCAAACCATGGGAGCTTGTTAGATCCTCGTTGTAGAATTTGCAATTCTTGAAGTGTTTGCAGAAAAATATGGGAATGTGTCCTCTATTTCATTGTTGCTAAGATTTAAGATTTCCAAATCCTTACAATTTGAAATAGATGGTGGGGTGTTCCTTGCAGTTGGTTGCTGTTGAAATTCAAATATCTAAACTTACTGCCTTTTAAAAATAATTAAGGGATAACTCCAAGGAAATTGTTCATACCCAAATGTAATAATAAAAGGCTAGTGCTCCGATTTCTTAAACATTGTGGAATAGGACCACCAAAACTGTTGTATGACAAGTCAAGAATGATGAGAGATTTTAAATCACAAATTGCAGAAGGTAGTTCTCCTGTCAATTGCAGAATGTGTCCTCTATTTCATTGTTGCTAAGATTTAAGATTTCCAAATCCTTACAATTTGAAATAGATGGTGGGGTGTTCCTTGCAGTTGGTTGCTGTTGAAATTCAAATATCTAAACTTACTGCCTTTTAAAAATAATTAAGGGATAACTCCAAGGAAATTGTTCATACCCAAATGTAATAATAAAAGGCTAGTGCTCCGATTTCTTAAACATTGTGGAATAGGACCACCAAAACTGTTGTATGACAAGTCAAGAATGATGAGAGATTTTAAATCACAAATTGCAGAAGGTAGTTCTCCTGTCAATTGCAGAATGTGTCCTCTATTTCATTGTTGCTAAGATTTAAGATTTCCAAATCCTTACAATTTGAAATAGATGGTGGGGTGTTCCTTGCAGTTGGTTGCTGTTGAAATTCAAATATCTAAACTTACTGCCTTTTAAAAATAATTAAGGGATAACTCCAAGGAAATTGTTCATACCCAAATGTAATAATAAAAGGCTAGTGCTCCGATTTCTTAAACATTGTGGAATAGGACCACCAAAACTGTTGTATGACAAGTCAAGAATGATGAGAGATTTTAAATCACAAATTGCAGAAGGTAGTTCTCCTGTCAATTTCATGAAAATACCGATAGCTTGGTCAAGTTTGCAAATACGGAAGGAATTGGCCCAATAAAACTCTTACGATGCAAAAGCAATATTTCTAGCCGGATCAAGTTTGCAAATGTGGAAAGAATTGAACCACTAAAGCTACTATATGAAAGGTCCAAGAACAAGAGTTTGTTGAGATTTCCAATGGAAGATGGAATTTGACCAGTGAATTCATTGTCTGAGAGATCAAAATAGAGAGTTTGGATAAATTACCAAACAACTCAAGATTAGACCCAATAAAATTGCAATTCATGAGTGTTAGCTCTTCCAATAACTTCAGACTGTTGAAAAATTCATTTTCCAAATATATTGGAATTTTAGTCAAACCAAGGGCCAATGATCTGAGTGAAAGACTCCAATTTGACATTGGAAAAGAGCCAGTGATGCCTTCATCGATCAATTGAAGCTCTATGAGTTTGGGTCTCTGAATTATATTAGTTGGAAATTTTCCTTTCAAGCCACACTAACTGTGGCTGAGCCTTGACAAAGAAGATGACAAATTGATGAAGGAATTAGGTGAAACCAAAGACAGGTTTACATAGGACAAGTCCAAAACCTGCAATTTGGTTCAGTTTTGAACAAGGTTGTTAAGACCAGCAGCAGTCATTTCTAAGGGATCACCATCGGTCTCGCGAATAAGATCAAGAGAAACCAAATTAATTACTTGGCTTATCTCTAATGGAACTTGGCCAGTAAAATTTGAAAAGCCTAGAGAAAGGTGTGTCAGACTCAACAAATGGCCAAATTGAGAAGGAATTTTAGAGCCTTTAAAATTGTTATTAGAGAGATCTAATACTTGAAGATGATGAAGAGCGAAAAGAGAACTATTGGGATACAAGTTACCGCAAAGCGGACTGGAAGAAAGATCGAGCTCAATAACATAACCAGTAGCTAATTCACAGCTGACACCATCCCATAAGCAGCAATCTGTACCTTCTTTCCATGAATTTGTCTTTGGATATCTCTCTAAATAATCTGTAGGCTCAGGCATGCTTATGGATACGGAGTTCTTGAATTGCAGCAATGCATTGCTTTGGTCAAACGGGTATGGTACTCTTGAAGAGGCAGTTACTACAAATATCATACACGCTCTATGATTACAATAAAATTCCAGTTACTTTTTTTTTTTAATAAATAATCAATAAAGATATGATTCCAAAATAATGGATGAAGCATCTTAGATTTCTATTGTATAGTATAGATATATTGAAAAATATCAACCTGTCTATTGAACAGGTCTACTTGCATAGAGAGAAGATAGTGGAGGAAAGCCAAGACCCGCTGCAAGTCCACCGGTGTCGGAATTAGAGTACCCAAAGTTGAAGATGATTGGCGATTTCTTGAATTGAGAAGCCGCCGAGGTGGAAGAAAATGATAACAATAAGCAGAAGAAGAAGGAGAGGTTGAGAGAGTGGAAATGAAGAAGGTGACAGCTCTTTCATTATTATTATTCTAATGGAATAAACAAAAGTAAGTTAAAGGCGAGCCTAGCTAGGAAGCACTAACATGTGGCCTGTGACATGAAAAACAAACATTTTAATGGAAAAGGCAACAAAGAAGTAATTTTCTACGCAAATAATAATACTGTCGTCTTATTGCGAATGTATATAGACGTCAATTAATTTTCTAGGGCACTCGTCACATTTCTAAATTTGCATCTCTCAAGCACATGGAGATTGAACTGAAAGTGAGTGAAAGGGAAGATATTTTCCGCATTCATTTTACTGCGGTAAAAGTCAAAACCAAACTTCCATAATATAAGGAAGTTTTTCTCTCCTTCTTTTAAGCTTAACCACAAACTGATTCAACATTCAAAGTTCTAGAACTTTCTTAAAATTCAAAGTTTTTTCTTCTTTTTTTTCTGGTTTTTATTTTTGAGAATTATTTGTTAATAATAAGGGAGTGGACAACAAATTGAAAGAATATAATGTTTAACGGGATTTGGATCACTATCAAATTTTGCATACCGGCAAAAATCAGGAAGCCTTATTATATTGAGAAAGAGATGGTGAGTTATAAATTGTTTATTAGCTTTTTATATTAAGAGAGAAAAATTATTGAGATATAATTGGTTTATTATTCTTCTAGGTCTTCAACTTTCCTTAAATTGCCAGTCTCTAGCTTTTGCACCTACAAGGGGTACAAGCTACATCCTGGTACAAGGACTAAACGGTCAAGACTGAGGCTAACATCTATGTCCCATATCTTTTGTGTATATAAAGCAAGCAAAGCATCAATAATTATTCACTTTTATTAGCATTGGTACATTGCCTTTTTATATTGTTGGAGGAAAACACAGTTATTATCTCCTGAATAATCTTTTTCAAATGGAAGAAAACTAAATTGGTGGATTGAAATGGAAAATTATTTTGTAAGTTCACCGGTGAATAATCACACCAAGCCAACCACAACTAATACTTCTGATCTATGTTTATTATCACACATGGGCTACCTGTGATAGCGCATTATAAAATTGAGTAGGAAAATTGACATAAATTGAGTAGTAAGAGAGGGTAGGGGTGAGCAGTATTTGGTGCACACTGAATAATCAAACTGAACCAACTCATTTCAGTTTGATACGGTTAGAGATCAACTACCAATTGATTCAAATAATAAAATTGAATGATTTTCAATTTTTGGTTCGGTTACTTGCATAGCGAACCAATTGATTTTTATGCATATTCGATTCAAAATACCTGAATCTAGTTTGATTTGATTCCGAACAAATTTTCACAATCTTTAATGCAGTTTTAGTCGACATAAAATCTATTCGATCAGATCAAATCGAACCAATTCGGTTTGATCTGGTTTAGTTAGACAAATGCTCATCCGTACAAGAGGGTAGATAATTAAGCAAGCCGTTCATTTTGTAAGGGTAAAATTAAAATGTAGGGCATGAGGATGACGCCCCAGGTACGAGGATTGGTGCATAGAATAATTCTCGTTGGAATGTCGCAGCCTATGAAAGCCATTCTAGTAATTTTCAGGCCACTTAATTGCATCTATTACTCTATTACTGCAAGAATTAGAAATGGACCCCCCAAGTTTTGTCAACCACTTGTTTGAGCAATTGGCCACCATACCCTACTCTAATCATCCTATATAAATTGATGTTTCCGAAATCTTTATTTGTACAAACAAAATTATTTACCTTTTAAATAGTGTATGAACTTTCGAAAAATTTTTTATTTCAGTATCTCAATGGATAACGTTTGCAATCAAGTATCAGAATCGATTAATTTTTTTCAATTTAGTGTCGCTGTCCTACATGGCTTGTCGGAAATATGAATAGAACATGTGATACCCACTATTTGTTAAAAATGAAACTAAATAGGACGCCAAATAATATGACACATTGATAAGTGTTATTTTTATAGTATTCTTAATATAATTTTTATTAGAATTTTTAGTATTTTTAATTACTTTAATTAGTTTTTATTTAGTTTTATTTATGTTTTTGTGTAAAACTTCCTTTTGTGTAAAACTTCCTTGAATCATATTTCACTTGATCTTGAGGAATTTTGTAGGATTTTTATAGGAATCCAGCATAAATCCTATCTAGGCGCTGAGAGAGTCCTAATTGGAAAAAAAACAAAACCTAAACAGTCTCCTATCTCAAAAAGATTTCTTCCTCAATAGAGATTCGCTTTCCTAAACGAACACGAACATATTTCAGAAAGTCTATATAAATAGAGAGACTAGCTATAGACAAAGAGAGTCATCCATTGTATATACCATCTTTTTGTTCTATTGTTTTTTCTCTCTCTCTAAGACTTCAAGTGCTTAAGATTTGTGTCAAGATTCAAAGAAGCCGACCACGTTATTTGTTGACTAGTTTTTATCTTTAAACTCTTAATCTTGTTTTTATCTTTCATTATTCAGATTGATTATGGAATTATTATAAAGTTTAATTGAGTTTTATTTAATTACTATGTCGAACTAAATTCTCATACTAGAGATCTGATGTAGTGTAATTTCTATTCTAATTTATACTATTAGATTTGCTTTTCCTTGTTCATGATATAATTTATTATTGAACTTAATGCTTCCAGGCAGAGTTGTTGGCTCAAGGGTCAAATCTCGGATTTTGATGATTAATACAAAACAAATAAATTTAAATTATATTACTTGTGCTAATTTTATTTTATGCAGAATTTCTTTGGAAAGAAATCATACAAGGCAAGTCCTACATTGAGAGTGAAGATTTCGAAGATCCTAGTAAAGATCCTAGTCATCTAGGCTTTTAGGAAACTTTATAGGATAGAGAGAAAGGTTATATATGAGCACAAAAATCTTTTTCTCTCTCAAAAGTATTTTCAGAAATTTTTTTTTAATAAATTCCTTTATTTTATTTTTCAAAAAAAATATATTCCTTTAAATCGAAAATATTTATTTTCCTAAAACTAAAGAGATTTCTTCTCTAAAATTTTTGGTAATAAAATCATTCACTCTTTCAAAAATATTTTCTTTGAAAGATCTAAAGTATTCTACAAATATTTTAAAATTAAATTCTCTTACCCTTAAACAATAAGGGGAAAATCTTTTTCGGTTTGGTAAAATGCATCTATCCCAAATACTTCCTTTCCCCAAAAATAAATGTTGTCAAAATCTTTTTCTCAAGGAAAGTAAAATCGGTTTTATCTCTTACCAAAAAGGGATGAATAATATTTTGGTACAACAAAGATTTTCACATCTTCTAAAAATAAGGAAAGAAGATATCTGGTTTCAATCTCTTTCCAAAAGTGACAGCTTCCTTTTCCTATATATAAAGGAACATTCACGCCTTAAACATTGGGTGAATAAAGAGTAAGTTGTTTTAAGAGACTCTCTCTCATTGAACGAATCTTTTTCTCTCAAAACTTACTCTCCCCCATTTTCTTTTCACTCTCTAATCTCTATTCTTAACGTTTTCAATATTTGAAGTGAAAAGAATTTTTACAATTACTTTTGAAAAACAATTCTGTGTTCTAATCGATTTTCTAATCTAATAAAATTGTTTTTCCTGTGCTTATATAGGCGTTTCTTTTTGTCTATTTAGAATCTGTATTCTATAGTAGACAGGCTCTTTATTTTGTTAAACTTTTGAGTGTAATAGCTTAAGTGAGAAGCTATTGAGATAGAGGTTATCAAGCGACCTTCTCCATGTGTGGGATAGTAATGTCTTGAATCGAGTTTTCTGTATTCTACCAAAAACAGAAAGGGTTGAGGTTACCTAGAACTTTTGGCCAAAATCTAGTGGGACCAAAAAGGGTAGATCTAGTTGTTTTGACTATTTCCTTGGTATGTTTGGTTTGTCTCTTTACCCTATTAAACGAGATAACTTAATGGCAGGATCTCAAGAAATGCCCGTCTTGGGGAGTGGATGTAGGCGAGTTAAGTGCCGAACCAACTAATAACTCTCGGTGTTGGATCTCTTATTTCTTGAAGTTTTGTTGAAATAACTGGCCTCTTTCACTCTCTTTCACACTCTTGTTTAATTTTTAGAAACGCTGAAATTGTTAATATTCAGATGTTCTAAAACGACAATAAGTTTCATCTATTCTAAACGTTAAAACTCTGGTATTCTAATATAGTGAATATGCAATGTTCTAACTGTTGTTCTATTTCCAGTATAATTCACTGTTTGGGTTTCTATTTTGTTTTCTAAACTTTATGACGATGTTCTAATCCTGATAACTCTTCATCATAAAGTTACTTTAACATCTGATTAAGACTCTGTGAAGAAGTTCTAATAACTATCTTTCACGTAGTGTTATATGGTCTTGCAAACTTTATGAGGAAGTTCTGAGTTCAATAACTTTTCCTTCATAAAGAAGCTCTGACATTGTACAAGTTAGTGTGAAGCTGTTCTAATCAATACAATCGCTTGCATCACTTTGCACAGACTTTCCTATAATCTGAAACTTAGAACATTTGAGGAGATTCTATCCATATTCTACTTCTCACAGTTCTGTGTGTTTTTCCGATGCACATAGAATTCTAATTCTTGTTTAGAATTTCCTAAAAATTTATTTCGTTTTTTTTAGAAAAACCCAATTCAAACCCCCCTCTGGGTTGTGCCATACACACTCAGGACCCACAAGAGTTTCTCCCCTGGATTGGTTTTATTTCTAATCACTATCGGGAGAAGGGTTTCTGATATGAAAAAGGTAATAAATTACATGAAATAATAACTTGATGCGGAAGCTATATGGTTGACTCATGGGGGGTTTTCATAAGTTAATGACCTTAGTTAATGAATTCAAACAAACAACCATAACAACTTAATGATTTAATTCATGTTTGATTGCGCTATTGGAAGATAGGTAATTTAAGAGCAACCGGGTTAAATAGCTCACAATTACATCCGGAAGAGAGAGCTTGTTAGTGATTTTAGGGCTGTTTCCCCTACTTGAACAATTAAAATTGATTATCAAACTAATAAAATAAATTGGATAGAATTAAATGAAGTAAAAATCCCTAGTAACATTTAATCCTTGATTTCTTTTAATCAAAAATTACCTTGCTTGATTTCTTTTCTCTTTTATTTGTTGAAGTTAATTTCTTACAATAACTCTCCTTACTG